TCCTTCACGAAAACGGAAGAGAAATCCGAGTGGTGAGTAGTGGACGGCGAGATGCACGAGATCGGCGATCATGTGCCACCACGTGAGCACTTTGTCATCCCAAGAGACAACGTCCCAAACAAGCGACGAAAGCAACTCAGGGAACAGTTCATGCGCCGCCATCGCCTCGTTATTAAGGAATCGGCTAGCGATGAAACATAATTGCAAGTGTTCTTAATAATGCAAAATAATCTGAAGACTGCAGCTAATAGTAGGTTTTGTTTTGTTTTACTGAAGAAGCATGAACCCTGGTGCAAAAAGTACATGGAACTGTATAATGAGCTTAGAGAAAATTTGGAGAGGTTGTATTGGGATGAGGGTTACTCGAAAAAAATTGCCAAAGATCATGCCAAGAATGAGTCTACCGAAGATGGTGATCAAGATTTTAACCCATACAGGTTTCGTCTTGCTGGTTTCTTCAATTCTTCTTCATGATATGTTAATTAATCATGTAGAAAAAATACTTCAGACATATCTTTAGGGTAGTTTCCTTGCAATATGTAAATGCTAGATATCTTGATTGAGAAAGTATTCATTTGGCATCACACGCTAATTTGTCTAAGGATTCTACTCGAAATTATTCTTAATCATACTCCCTTGTTTCATCTTATAGGAGCAGAGGAATCCGTGCCGATTTCAAAAAGGTATGAATTTTTTTACATGATTTGGTGGTGGCTTAACTCATGATATATCACTCAATTTCAGCAGATCATGGGCATCCCATGTTGAAAACATATAACTTTCTCCTTTTTTTATTATTATTTTGGAACATATCTTCCTGTTGATACTACATTGAATTACACATTCTGAACTGCAGGATCAAGGTTTTGGGAGGAATAGGCAAGGTGATAACTTAGGGAAAGTCAATCAGCTACGGGATAAATTTGAATTCGATAGAGAGAAAAGAATGAGAGAGAAAGGTATGCTTGATTCTTTCAAGTTAATTTATGTTTTATACAGAAATTTCTATGTGCTGCTTATACTTGTATTCTATTCTATAGATCTAGAGATAGTAAAGGCTGAATTGAATGCATTAACTTGCGCTACACGTATCTATTACAAAATAAATTGGGAGTCCATTTACAAAACCAGAGGCCTAGATCCATATCCAATCTAGCAAGAATCCTAGGGTTCATCAATCCTAGGGACTACTTCAGCGCCGCCTCCAGGTGTCCCAACCGGTGACTGTCACGACGCCATTGCCTCCAACAGAAGAATCCAGAAGAAGCAAAGAGAACCGCACACCTCGCCCTATGGTGAGTCACCATTGTAGATCCGATGACTCACCAAAATGAACGATGGTCCAAGATCTTTCGAGGGCTATAAAAAGCCTTGATTTCTCTTCAAAAAAAAGGGGAGAACACAACAACGACAAGAACGGGAAGAAAGCAAACAACACCAACAAGCAACAAACAAACCAAAAGGAGAAGAAAAGAAAGGAGATCTTACCTTCGTCGAAGCCCAAACGTTGTCGGAAAAATTGTTTTACCGAAGGTAAAATCTTATATCTAGGCCGTCTTGAAATTTTTTAGGAAAGAGGAGGGTGGTTTCGGATTTAGGGTGAGTCGATCTATGATTTGAGCTATTTTAATTTTTTTCGGTCGTGAATAGTAATCGGAATAGTGACCGGCGGCATGAATAATGATCGGCTGGTGAACGGAGCTTCCTCCGGTGAGGGAGTTTAGAGAGAAGGGAGAGAGCTTCTCTCTCTTTAGAAAGAAAAGCAAAACAGAAAAATAGAGAAAATTGCCTATTTTTGCTTATTTATACTTAAATTAAAACTACGTCGTTTTGATGAGGGAGTGTCTGTGTAATTTCAGAATTGGTTTAACCCCGTTTGTGGTCCCTGTATTATGTAATCTTCCATTATAGTCACCAAAATCAAGTTTCTATATCTTTTAATTTTATCTTCGCATTTTATTTATTTTTATTTTTGTCACTACCCGTATATTTACATATATTTGAATAATATTTTACGATTATTTACACTTTTAATATATATATATTTTATAATATTTCGAATATTGACAAATAATTTATATATATTTTAATTTAATCCTATATTATTATTTTGGTTATTATTTAATTGTAATTTTATTTTATTATTACTTTTATGTTTAAATATTTTAAATATAGTACTTATTTATTATTTATTATTTTAGTCACATATGTGTATCCTAATAATATATATATTAGTGTTTAAAATAAAAAATATAATGAATAGAAAAAATAATAATAATGACATAAAGTAATATCATTATTAAAAGTAATAATAAAAATTAGAAAGTAGAGCACTATAATTTTGGTGTTCTATTTTAAAATACATTATACTAAGTTGTGTCCACATTTTTTTTATATTTTTTAATCCTACTTTTTTTTTAATTAATTATAATATTTCATTTTTTTTTTTTTCTTGAAATATTTATTTTATTATCTTAATTTTAATATTTTTAATATTTTCATATTATTAGAGGATTATTTACAACTATAGTACTTTTCATATTAAGTGTTATAATAGTAACCTTAATTTTTATATTTTCTTGATTAAATCATTAAAATTATTATATGTAATATGGTTATTTTATTTTATACAATAAGTCCTAAAATATTTCCTTAACTTTTTAAGAAAGTATTTTAAATGATTTTTTGGTATAAATAATATTTTTTAATTTTTTTTATGGGATTATAAATTGAAATTAAATTCAAATTTGTTAATTTATTGCAAGACGTTAATTAATAAATAAAGTACCAATTTTGGGCGTTGTGTGGGTGCTAATCATTCCCCACACTTAACCGACTCCCGGACTCATTTTTTGATAAGCAGACCATTTTTGTGTTATTTTAATATTATTTTTATAAATTTTATTAAATTACAACATTTTTTGTGACCAATCACACCTCGATAAAATGATTGGTGACGATTCCACAAATTGTGTTTTATCTTATTCCAGAAGAAAAATACTTACTTTTTCGAGACGAGATTTAGAAAGTAACGACACTTGTTTTTGCCGGACGAAATACCGTCTCGACATCATGCACTGACCTGAAACTTTTACATGATTTGAATCCAAACTTGATCACTCTATGCATGATGCAGATTAAAATGCATCCAAAGTTATTCAAACTAAAAAAACCAACATATCTGCAAGCTAACTTGAATTGACTTAATAAGGTAGCTACCAACACTGACTCTACCAGAAACGACCCGGTTGCCAAATTTCCACCTTGACATAGCTCCCTTGGTCTCAATTTGGCTGAAGGGTTCCCGTATTCATTGAAGGAAACTAAAACTATAACCAATAGTTGTTTCAGCTATTTTCTCTATTGCTTGTTAATGAAGGGATGAAAGCTTTAGCCCAAGTTCTTAACTAGCTAATGAATTTAGTTTGAGTATCTCATAATCTGGCTCTGCTAGGCTTGTAATTTTTTTATGCCACTTGAGAACAAAGTTCTATTTTGAGCCCTTCTTCTGCCACATCTTCTTTTACAGGAGCTTTTGGGGCTTCTCAGGGTCATAGTTTGGATTGCTATGTCACTTAAGTGATGAAAATGCATTGAACCCATTGCCAAATGTTTGACGTGGAGTCACACATAAGCCACATTTTTCATCAATATGAACTTCCAACTAGCTGATAAATCATTCCTCGTGTTTGATTTACAGGGATTTTCATGTACTGTGTGAATATCTTTAATATGAGCAAACTGGATCCTTCCATTGTATTTTCTTAAACGTCTGAATGATTAGGCTTACATATGAGTAAACTGGATCCTAAAATGTCCCGATGAAATCCCATATGCCTTGGACTCGTCTACAAATAATTTTCCTTCGTGTCATTTAAAATGCATGCAAATATCATATGTGATGTATTATATTGCTTACGTGGAGCACCCCTGTAAATGTATCTATGCAGCATTTGCACCAATGAATGAACAAAATGCTTCGAACAGCTACGATACAAACTCTAAGAACCAGCCGTTTGACAGATACTTTTCTGATAGTGACTAAGATTATGATGAAAGAAAGGGTATTAGGAAGTGATGACTGGCATCAGAACCTTTTTAGCTGATTCAGTTCAGATTCGGACTACCCTTGAGCAGGTCTTGCCTGTTACATAAGAGTGCAAGGTTTTCACTTTGAATTGCCTAATGTTGTATTGGTAAGTAATATGGATATTAAATTATGATTTTGTATGAGATTTTCTCTCAATACAGTCTCTTTTTGTTACAAAAGTGGTAGTCTGAATATAAAGGAGCTGTAGACATTGGACATGAATTCAAAATGTACGATACCCTAATTGAAAGAGAGATGATATTATTGATAATCCAGTCTCGTACCACAATAAATAATACGAAACTCCTCTCCACATGAATAAAACTATAAGGAGGAAACTCTCTCCTTTTTAGTTGCAATTATCCATTCTCAAACCCACGACTCTTTGAAAACCACTTCTCACCTCCCCTTCCCAGATCCTATTCATTTGTATTTAAAAAGCATACATTGTTCGAATAATTCGATTTCGATGACAATTTTTTTTTGTTATTTTTAAAAGTTTCGAATTCGAGCATTATGAATGTTATAATCGTGACGTTTAATATTGAATGGTTAAAAATTATCTTTAAATAAATAATATACTATATTATATTTACTCAATTCTGGTAAGGGAGAACTAAAAAAAGTAGAGGCGTCAAATTTCAAAATTACATAAAAATTAAGTGGAAAAACTAAATTTTAAAATTTTTATTGTCAAATTTTAAAATTTTATTCTACCCAACTAGAACCACCATTAATTAACATAGTACCAAGGGTAAACTGCCAAGGTAAAACCACGTTAGTTTCGTCCTTACCCTAAAATCTACCAGCGGAGAAGTAAACGTAAGGAGAAACTTCAAGGTCTTAACCAAACATGAGATTCAAATATCACTAGTGCTACTACTAATAAATTTATTTAAAATTAAAGAGATTAAAAACGCTGGTGAATTTCTCATTTAAGAGCAACTGACGCCTGAAGGTTCGTAAACACTCGATACCAAAAGTCTTGCTATTTCCTACCGGCTACAGAGAAATTAAAGCTAAGAAATTATATCAAAAGATCGTACGGCATCTAAACCCTACACGTCAGCGCACTTCTTAGCAGCGGAGCAGATAAGCCAAACATAGCCGTATGGATCCTTCACCTTGCCCACGCGACCAACGTAGCACGCGCCACCGTCCTCAGTTATCTCACTCTCTGCAACTCCTCCAACGCTCACGACCTTGGCAACAGCAGCTTCAACGTCCTCAGTCTCGAGGCAGAGCACACATCCGGTCCCCTCGGATTTCACCCTGTTTATTTGAAAACACGCCAAAAACCAAATGAGTCTCTTGAGAAATTGTTATAATCCACCTGAACATTATTTTAGGCAAAATAAAAAAATGCAGTTGGAGCCAAACAGGATGTAGAAAATATCAACAAGGAAGATTAAAACAAAGAAAAAAGAAGATAAACCATATTCAAATTTCAGCCATACAGATCTAAGAAACAGGAGCTCTAAATAAAGACACCGCAAAAGCAGGAGTGAAATTGTTAGATAATAAACAAAAAATGAGAAATGAGTAAAATAAGTTTCCTACCAAACAATAAGACGATTTAAAGAAGCTACCCTATTCACAGCATAAACTAAACCTAACAGAGAGTTTATTATTCAACGATGACTGAACGTAAACGGTCACAATGGGAAAATAGCTTAAAAGAAATTCTAAAGCAAACCGTCGTTGATAGATTTTCATAATCGAAAATTACAGTAAAAGAAAATGTACAAAAGCAAACAAAAAAAAAACAAATATTAAAAAATATAGAGGAGGGACGAGCGTACGGAGCAGAGTTTTCATCGATGTCAGAAACAAGAATGGTAGAGCCAGCTAGCTCAAGTTGAGCGGAGAGAATCTGGGGGAGCTCCTGCTCAGCCTTGCGCTTAGGGTGAACAGTACGGCCAACCTCAACAGCGCCAAACGCGGATTTGTAGAACTGTACCGCATCAACTGCCTTAGGAGCCTCCACCATCAGCTGAGGTTTCAACGCTGTGAACTTCACCGCCGCTACCTTCTCGGCTCCTCCGTTCTGGACCTCCTCCTGTGCCATTGATGAAGCTAAAACAAAAATCCTTTCCCAGAGAAAACCTAAAACCTAGGAAAGAGAAAACGACAACAGAAACTCAAAACATAAGGAGAGAGTGCAATGAAGGTGGTGAAGACACGGGCGTTGGGCGAAGTTATAGATGCGGGGATCAGGAACCGTTTAAGGATAAGATTGGTATTTTAAATAATATTTGCGATTCAGGTTTTGTCATGTTGTTCATTGTTTAGAATTTTTGAAGACCAAAAGGCCCTTGGCGTGTCATTCACTCAAGCTCATTTTGAATATTATTGGGCAGTGAATTAGGGATGGCAATGGGTCGGGTCTGGTCGGGTTTTTGGGCCACCCGACCCGATCCGAGAAGAAAGGGTTCTCCACCCGTGACCCGACTCGACCCGATAAAATTAATGTTTCACCCGACCCGACCCGATCCGAATATATGACTTAGAAACCCGACCCGACCCGACCCGACCCGAAATAAAAAAAAAAATTAATTCAATGAAAACAGTGACTTAATTGAAAAAAATTATATATGGAGGGATATTATTGTAATTATCCCTAAACATATAAGATAAAATTATATATATTTTTCGGGTCGGGTCGGGTCGGATTTTTTTTACCCTAAACCCGACCCGAGCCCAAAATTTTTTAAAAAAATCCGACCCGATCAGGTCGGGTCGGATCGGAACTCGTCGGATTCGGGTTGAGTTGCCATCCCTACAGTGAACACACCTTTTACTTTCCACAGTAACAAAAGTGATTTCTTGGTGTTTAGGGTTTGGGCTTTTTGGGAAAAACTGATTTTTAAAACAATGGCTTAAACGACTTTGGGCTTGTGTTATTGTATTTAGTGCTCCCGTAAATCAATTAACCTTTACCATTAATTATACTATTTCAAGAATGGAAATAATTATTTATTTTGTTATTTATAATTGTCAAGGCAGTCTATCCCGACATATTTTACAAATGTTTTCTTATTTCTAAAATAATGTATTTAGAGAAATTTGTTTACTACTCACAAATTGACTTTGTATTTGTATTTAATTTCTTGGAAAAAATAAATTTTTCTTTTCTTTTTAGTTTCGAAGGATAGATATTCACCCAAAAACTAATTCAAGACTCGTTGCTGGTCCCAAACAATTATATAAATTTAATTTCATAATTTGAAATATTTTATTTATTACTAAAACAATAGACCATTTAATAAAGATGGAATCCCATGGTCGTGGACAAATTAATAATACCAATAACTAATAGGGGAGGCCACATTAATGTAGCCGTCTTAATTAAATTGGTATTACACATGACTTTTAACCATGTGGTTATGGGCTTGATTCCGAGAGACACCTTATTTCTTCTGTGCTTGTAGCCATGTCATCCACTTTCCTTCTTGCTTTGCAACCCTCGTTCCATATTGATCATTAAACTTTGTACTTTGTGATTATAATAATATTAATTATTATTATTGTTTATCAATAAAATCTCAAGTTTGATTTTCATTTATATGAAAGGGTTTGTACTTTGTTACTTTATAAAAAATATATGGAATTTCACTGCCATATTTTTAATCACTATCATTATATAAAAGGGTTTTAGTAATGCAATTTTTTAATTTTTAGTAATAAGGTGATGATAAATATTGTCTTAGTCAACTCCATTTAATTAGAGACTATTAATTTTTTTAAAAATAATTTATGAATTAAATAACGATGAGAATGAAAATAATGGATCGTTGGGCAAGTGAAAATATAAGACTAAGATTAACATAGAAATCAGAAGATATTACTGGAAAAAAATGAGTTAATCTCAGTCATCTATTTTCATCCATCTAACGATCCTAAATCTGTTTTGAATTTTATATTGTGTAAGTGAATTTTAACGCCATAAAAATATTTTTTAATAATACTGATTAAAATATTTTTTCTGGATCAAAGTACAAGCATCTCAAAAATCTTAGAGTATCAATATAATTTACCTTAAATTATATGTTAATAGATTTATTCAAAATTTTAGTTTAATTAAAATGATTTTTATTTCAACTTAATCTTAATTTGATTAACATAATAATATTAAAAAATATAAATTCAAATTTAATTATCAATTTTTAAAACATGATACAAAATTTGAATAATTTAAACAACTTATTAAAAAAATATCGTAGAATGTGGTTTTTGAGACCATGAATTAGGCAATAAATTTGAATTCTCAAAAGCAATATATTCCACTTCTGAAGCTAAAAGGTCCCCATACGGATAAGGCCCACACTCACTTGTTTTTTTTTTTTTTTAATAAAATAAAGGAGAGGACAAAATGGTCATAATTTGAATTCGGAAGAGACCAACTTTGAACTCTGACAGCTGCAGCAACCCGTCCCCTTCCCACATTTCACCTCCCCTTCTTCTTCATAGATTTTAAATCTCTTAGCTCAAAAGGGAAGCAATCCAGAAATACAGCAACATATAAACAATCGAACAACAACTCTTTGAACATAATTAATCAACAAGCTATTTCATTTTGATCCAATGGCTGCTTACGTTGGCATTTTGGTCTCAGATCCATCTCTGCAAAACCAGTTTACTCAAGTCGAGCTTCGTGACTTAAAAACTCACGTAAGTTAATAAATCAATCGATTTTTTTTTCAATTTTTTAAAGTTACGAATCTGTTTTGATTATAACTACAAACATTTTGTTTTTGATTTCTAGTTCACGAGCTTGAGAAGAGAGAAAGGAAAGCTAACGGTGGAAGACTTAGCATCGAGAATGTCGAGATTGAAAGTTGTGGGAGAGAATCTGAGTGAACAAGAACGAGCTGATTTTATTGCTGATTTGTATCCTAACTTGAACGACGAAGTCGATTTCGAGTTCTTTTTGAAGGTCACTTGATGTTTCTTTACTTTGAGTTTCAATCCGTTTTTTCATTAAGATCATTTGTTTGTTTGGTTTTTTTTCTTCCCTAATGAAAATTTTGGCTTATAATATTATTTTGAATTACTTGGGATTTTGATTTTTGTGAATAGGTTTATTTGAAACTTCATGCACATGCAAGTTCAAGAACTGGAAGTCCTGCAAAGAACTCATCAGCATTCCTAAAGGCAGCTACAACTACTCTGCTTCACACCATTAGCGAATCTGAAAAGGCATCTTACGTTGCCCATATCAATAATTATCTTGCTCAAGATGGGTTCTTAAACAAATACTTACCCATTGATCCTTCCTCCAGTGATCTTTTTGAGATTGTTAAGATGGCGTTCTTCTTTGGTAAATGATTCTTTCAACTTTTAAAGTTGTTGAATTTGTGCTTATGTGATGCAAAAATTTTGAAGCTTTTATGCAAAACAAATGCAGCAAGCTTATAAATGTAGCAGTTCCGGGTACAATTGATGAAAGGGCTATTAATACCAAGAGATTGCTCAATCCATGGGAAAGAAATGAAAACCACACGTTATGTCTCAACTCTGCTAAGGCTATTGGCTGCACTGTAGTCAATATAGGGACACAAGATTTCATTGAAGGAAGGGTATGCGTATACTATAATGTTGGTTGTTCCATTATTGAAATATAGTTTATTTGATGGTTGGTTCCCACTTAAGTCTAAGAAAGACTTTTGGATATAAGCAGTTTAGTTTAAAGCATGCTTCATTGCTATTGTTGTATTAGCAATGTCTACAGCTTTACCCAATGTGCCCATCTTAAAAGCTATTTTTGGGTTTCTAAACTGCTTTTCCACATGATAATTGAAGTTGGAAAGTTCATTGCTTCTCATACTTGGCTTGGACTAGGTAGAGGATTTCATCTAATACCCTAGTTTTGAGCTCACCACTTATGAGCGTAATTACTTAAGAGTTTGGATATTGCAAGTAATTGTTGACAATAATATCATCTCTGGTTCCTTTTACAGAGACATCTTGTGCTTGGATTGATTTCTCAAATTATCAAGGTAACTTGATCTATCAAATAAATTGTTATGCAACCTTACTACCTACGAATACCATTGGTTAATCTTGCTAATGTTTATGCTATTTTAGATTCAACTGTTGGCAGACCTCAACTTGAAGAAAACACCTCAGTTGGTGGAGCTTGTTGATGACAGTAAGGTTGGTTTGTGTAGCATTTTAAGAAAAAGTACAATTTTTAGGAAGATGAACTATCTGATCTTTTTTGTGATGAATTATGGTTAGTATGCCGAATGTCTGAAATTTGCATTTCATTTTCATTTACAAATTTTAGGATAATGAACTATTTGATCTTTTTCTTCTAGGTTTCTGATAATATTTGTCTTTTCTTAAACCAACAGGATGTTGAAGAGTTGATGAGTTTACCTCCAGAGAAGATCTTATTGAGGTGGATGAACTTTCAACTGAAGAAATCCCCATACAAGAAAATAGTCTGAAATTTCTCTACTGATGTAAAGGTAAAGAAGAAATTCGTTTTAGCATATTAAATTTTCATCAAATATCTTCTCTTTTGCATGTGTAGTATCCTAATATGCTGCATTAACAGTGCAAGTAAGTAGATGTTTGTTTAGCCCATTCTGTTTTCCCCATGTTCTTCGTTAGTTAGCATCTAACATAAGTTCAACATCTTAAAACCACCGTAACAGATCTAGTGTGAAACTAAATTCTTAAAATGAGGTTTCTAACCATATATAATTCTTTTGCTTCCTCAATTTTTCTACTCTAACAGTAGATGAAAGAAGTGATTTGGGTTTGTCTCAAGCTGCAATAAGATATGAAGACCTTTTTTCCCCAAAATTTTATTTCGTTCCACCTTTGATTATATAATATTCAATCCACAGGATGCAGAGGCTTATGCACATCTTCTAAATGTTCTTGCACCCGAGCATAGTAATCCCTCTACATTGGTTGTCAAAGATCCATTTCTGAGAACAAAGTTGGTTCTTGAACATGCAGATAGGATGGGATGTAAGAGATACTTAACTGCAAAGGATATTGTGGATGGTTCCCCAAATCTTAATCTTGCTTTTGTTGCCCATATTTTCCAGCACAGGTGAGAATAGCCTCCTTTCTTTTCCAGCAGTGATAATTTAAATATAAAGTGAATTTGTTTGTACTTTTAATATTTTCAGCTCTATGTTAACTTTTATCATCCTTCACATATATTATATGTTCTGTTT